ACCTCTTTCCTAGTCTGCAGAGTCCATCAGAATTTACTACTACTGACATGCATCCATCTCCTTGCCTCAGATTCTCAACAGTACAACTTGAGATTTAACAAGAGTCAGAATTCCAGGTTTCTAATCAGGGAATCAAGTTGCACTTTAGATCAGGGAAAAACTTGGGTCCTTGCAATGGGTGGTAGGTAGACAGGTGGGCCCCAAATTGGGTGTTGGATTTGGGTGAGGCACAGAGCAGCCAAAGGTGGCCTAAACCGAGGGCTCTTTCATGTGTCTCATGGTAGCCTGAAGGAAGTAACTGCCATTTTTCAACTTGAATCTACAGGGGCAAAAATAATCTGATTTTTCTTTTTGTAAACACTAATCCATTGCTACTGAGTCAACTCAGCAATCCTGTGGGGTTTCCTGGACTCTGTATACTGTGAGGAGACTGCCACACCGTTCCATGGAGCAGCTGATGAGTTCAAACTGCTTTTTTGTAGTCAAATGCATTAATTGTACCACTACCAGAAACTTCTTAGTGCTGTTGAGTTGGCACTGATGTATAGCAACCCTGTATAGAATAGGGTTTCTGAGACTTTAAATCTTAGTGGGAGCAGAAAGCCTCATCTTTGTTCAGTACAGCGGCTGGCGGGCTGGAACTTCAAGCCTTATGGTTTGCAGTCCAGTGCTTAGTGAATGGAGCCACCTCCTCCCAAGAGAAGGCTGTTAGTGCCCTTGAGTCCATGTAGAATAATTTCTGTGGTGGTGGATAAGTTGGGCAAGGGGAGAGGCAAACCCATAAACTTGTGGACACTTGGGCCTATCTTCGTTAATTTGGATTAGATTTTACTGTCCACTTGCTTAGCAGCTGATAAAACTTCTAAACCAGAAGGGATGCCTCAGCATTCATTTGCTGTTTCTCAAAGTCTGCTTCAAATAAAATCAAACACCACAATCCTGACATCCCGGGTTTGGCTCACACCTGAACCTGGGTTGGGGAAGGTTCTTATAACTTGTCTAGATCCCTGTGACTGCTACTCAGACAGGAGAGGCCTGGGTGATGTGATTATAGAAAGTGGGAGGGATTGTAATTTCTGGTTTAGGTAGAAACACAGAATTCCAGTATGTTGCAATCAAGTAAAAATATGCCTTCTAAAGTAATGTGGCTGCAAACACTCCCCAATGCTGGTCTCACTTGACAGTCTTACTTATGAGATGGCTGTTGCCATGTGAACATGTGTTTCCTTGAATATTTGCTCCACATCATGAATCAAAAAAATATGCACACGTAGTGTGTACATTTGCTTGTATATATATAAAATGAATGACCTTGGGTACATAGAAACTGTGCTCAAGGTGGGAGGATGTGGGCTTGCTGGGGCTCAGGGATGCAACGATATTTAACCGATTTGTAAACCATATGAAGATATTTTTACCTATTCAAAAAATGAAAAAAGCAATACTCAACACTTTGCAGTCAAGTTGATGCATGGTGGGCAGAGGCAGCTAGACAGCACCCATGGCACTCAGGAGGAGGGGGTGGCGGGCAGCCCAACCTGTGGAAAGCCCCTACTGTGGGGCTTCAGCTGAAGTCAGCAGCTCTCTGTGACCTGGAGGAGCACAGGCCTGCTGCGTGTCACCCAGAACTGTGTGGTGAGCTTCGAGCTTACAAGAATGTTAAGACTCCTGGGATGGTGGATAAGGTGGGAAATTTTAGGAGGCTAACTGGCAGGAAAAGGAGCTCTGGTAACGTAGTGGTTACACATAGGGCTGTGAACCTCAAGGTCAACAGTTCAAAACTATCAGCTGTTCCTCGGGAGAAAGATGAGGCTTTCTGCTCCCGTATAGGTTTACGGCCTCGGGAACTCTGTACCGGGTCGTTAAGAGTTGGAACTGACTCCACGGCACACCACCACTACCAACCTGCAGAAAAGTACATTGGCTAGCCAGTGGCCAAGGGCTGATCTCAAGTCATTTCAAGTACTTTTTAAATCCAGAGCTTGGCAGACAACTGGAGAAGTTTCAGAAAAGTACTTCGCAGAAATCTGTTAAGGAAAATGATTACAGTTATCCTGAATGTGATCCAGGAGGGTGGGGCCAGACCAGGCTTAGGGTGGAGCAATTCCTTGATGAATCAGATAGGTTGGCACTAGGGAAAAGGATCTTAATTTGTCAAAACTTGTAAAGAATAGGGCATTTGGCAAAGATGGAAGGCCCTCTGTATCCATTAAGCCCAGACCTTCTCTTGCTCCATTTGGTCATTTGTTCTGGCTAGGCCATCACAGGCAACAAGGCCCATTATGAAGCCTAAGCACACTATGGCAACGAAAAGCAACCGATGACTGCAGCTCCTACCTACCCAACCAGGAACAGGCTGGATTTTGTGTCCATTTCTAAAGCCAGCTGAATTCAGTTGTCCCCTAGCAATAAATAGGACTGGGGCTGAGTCAGGGTCCATTAACCCATATCACCTAAAGTAACAATCTCAGCTGCTCAAGTAATCCTAATGGTTATGTAAAGTGCAGCCAGTGGCCTCAAAACAAGAGCCTTCATGGGTCTACAACCAACTGCTGGTCAATAGTTCTTAACACAAGATGCCTCACTGGGGATTGAGTAGAAGCCAAGCATATAAAGGTGTTCCAAACTCCTGGTGGAGATCTGAACTTGTTCAAACAAAAAACTTAGTTTGATTTTTCGTAATTAAATTTAGCATTGATGCTAAAGCTCAGGAAAGTCCTGTGGGAGGACCCAGCAGTAGGGCTGTGATGCTAGCTGCAGGGTCCACTACTATGAAGGTGGCCATGCCGGGAGCAGGGTGAGGGTTAGCAGCAATGGCCACTTGCATGCCTGGACGAGTGTCACATTCTTGTGCTTTCTCCAACAGCCATAATTGTTGAGGCTTTGGTCTAGTGCTTCGCGACAACCATATCAACTGCTTTTAGCTTGTGAGATGAATTCATTTACCTCCCTACCAATGCAGGGAATTGGTGTGGGCTGATGCCCAAGGGCAGAAAACAGATGAAAGTGAAATCTACAATTCTACAGAACCTTGTGGGCTGCAGTCATTTGCTGACCTCAGAATTCCCCCTTTGAGGGTGAAAAAAAAAAAAGATTTATTATCTGTACCCCATAATGAAGAGGTGAATGATGGGTGTTGACTATTAATGAGGCTAGTCCAGAAGCAAGCCTACTTATGACATGGGTCACTAAAGACATTTCACTGTAAACTCTTTTGCCACATGCAACTCTATTGTGCCATAAATGTGAACACGAACAATGAAAGTAGGCATACAAATAGTTCTTTGCATGGGTGCCAAACAGGCTAAGGCTTTCATATGAAAAGCTTCCACACTTCCCTTGCCCTATTTTAGGAAGCAGTCCAATCTACATACCACCAGCAGGTCACACATAGGAAATGGCCAATTCTGACTAACTGGAGTTGTAACTTTCCAAACTGGATTCTACCCAGTACTTTTCTAGGCTAATGGGAATTTTCCTCATCTGACCTCAGCCACCTGAGCCAAGGTCTGGTTCCCTCTCCATTCTAGATGGTAAGAGGTTGGATTCCAGAAAAATGCCTGGAGACATGCCATGAATAGGGCTATAAAGCTCCCTCCCTTTCCTCCCATATCACGCAGATTATTTTTCCAAGTAAGAAAGGTTCCCATTCACCGTGGACACCCCCAGGATGGAGGGAAATGGAGAGCAGGGCTGACCCACTGTTGCTTTACATAGCTAATTTACACAAAATTCACGAATCCTAAGGGACTCTGTGTCTCGTCTAGAAAAGATGGGACAGAAAAAGCCAAAGAGCAGCATGCATTTCTCTCCTATAAAGACAATTAGTTACCAAAAGTCCAAACACTGACGGTACCACCAATGCGTGCGCAGCCCGGCAGGAACTTCCTGAAACTATTTACAATTTCAAGTGAATCACCGGTTTCAGAATTACTTGGGATTCTTTAAATTGTTTAAAAACAAGGTCAGTGACAGGCATTTTTGTTAAGTAGAAACAGAAGGCAAGAAGAAGGGAAAAGGTGGAGCCGTGCCTCTGAGGAGGGCAGGGCAGGGGAGGGAGGGTGGGTGAGGAGGGGCTCAGAATCCTCCCATCTGAATGGGGCCAGGATTGGCCATTCTCAAAAAGATGCTCCTCTTCTGAGTAGCTTGAGGCTCGTGGGGGCCCATCCAGGGCAGTGAGCCAAGACCAGTGGCTCCCCAGGCACAGGGGCACGACTCTGGTACCTCCCCAGGTCACACAGGGACAGTACAGGCTCAGAGACCCACCCCCCCAGTACCTCTCCATTAGGAGGAGGGGAATGACATGAGGAAATGGCTTCTAACCAGGCCTTTCCAAGGGCATCTAATGTTTTTAGCTTAGGTGATCTGATAGCAGATGCTGTGAACTTGAGGGAGAAGAGACTGGCGAGGGTCACAGCTGCTCTGCTTGTAACTAAATCCCTTGGGTTCCGAGTTGGTCTGATTGAAGGAATGTAACATGGAAAGCCTTGTTGGCACTGCTGCACCGGCCACTGGCACCTGGTCGTGCTTTGCTGAGGTACTGCTGGTTTACTTGGCGCAGGGACTGCCGGGTGGGTCTGCTGCTGCAAAGGCATGCAAGGTCTGCATAGAAGCTCATCTGTCCACAGGGTGGTGTGTGTGGTTTAGACTTGCCCTTAGTTCCCTTCTCTAACACTTGTGTGCATCTTCCCCTCTGCTTGAGAGAGTCCACTTGATAGAGGGGTAAGTGTCTAGGAGACAGAGTAATGAAGGAAGCTTCTGGAACCAAACCCGCAGCCTTGTCCACTCCTCTTCTGGCAGGGGGTAGTGTCAGAGTGCTATGGATGTCACAAGACCCAGATATATGGGTTCCCAGCTTGGCTGGTCCAAGAGTTCTTCAAGAGACAGAGGAAATGGCAGCTGGTGCCTCAGGTAGAGAGCAGCCAATGCAGAGACTGCTCGTGTTGCTCCTGGCTTCATGCGGCTGGTGTATCCTGCAACAGTCTGGTCCTTGTGGTAAGCTATACAATGTTCTCTGCCCCAGGGAGGGGCCCCTGTGGGGGTCCACGGTCCTGCTTACTGTGCAACTGGGCCAGCTGCAGAACTGGCATGTTGCACAATGGACACACTTTCCGCACCTCCAGCCACTTAATAAGGCACCTGCAGAACAAGACACCATAGGAGGCAAGGCGTCAGCCCCAGGCTCGCAGCAACCCACGGCTCAGCAGTTGGGCATATACTGGACGCATCTGTTGCCCAGAGCCAGGGGCTGCTGTGGACAGCTAACGTGTTTAGAAGTCTGGTGTCTGGTCCCGAAGTGCTCCACCAGTAGGTGTTTCACCCTCAGGAGGAACTAGAGCCACCCATCTTCCAGAAGGTGATACTAAGAAGCCACCGTCAGCAGAGCTGTACCCTCAGCCCTGCCCAACTTCCTGGAGAAGACTGAAGTACATTCAGCACGGGGTGGGAAGGAGGAGAAATACATTTTCTGAATAGAAGTGCAAAGCACATTCAGATTGCAAGAGAGGGGTGCCTACTGCCATGTCTGTAGGAAGAGGGAGGAGATGATCCCACACAACCATTTACGTCTGGTCTGTATTTATTGTGCTATAATAGTGGTTTTGATTAAGACACATTTTTAGGAGATGGCAGCCCTCATTGGAAAGTTCCAGCTAAATGCAAACAGGTGTGAACTTGTTAAGCTCTCTGCCCCAAACCCTGTGGAGGTGGTCAGGTTAGACCAACCTCATCCCTCCCAATATCAGGAGCATATACATGCCCCACCTCTTGGACTGAGAAGGGTGCTCCCAAGTTTCTGCAGGACAGACCAACCATGAAGTCACCTAGCTTCTCTGCATTGCCAAAAGCCCATAAGTAAGTTGATCAAGGTGCCTCAAACTCAGGTCCTATTAAAGAATTCCCCACCAATACTCACTTTCTGTGGAAGGCGTGCTTACATGGACAAATCCCCAGCTCATCGCGAGGCTTGAAGTCTTCTAGACACACTGCACAGAGCTGAAAGACAAGTTCACAAGTGAGGGAACGTGTCTGCTAAGTGTTCTCCCAGGCTACAGAGTAGAGTGCAGACCATGGGATGCGACTGGAATGTCCCACAGCTCATTAAGTGCAAGACAAAGGACTCAGAGAAGCACAGTCTTCTGAAGAAGTCTCATGTTCTTTGTAGCACACGTCTTAAAAATGGTGGGTGGACAAGAGAACACAGAAAACGAGCGGCAGCTTCCTTTACCCAGAACATCCAAGAGTGATTTATGTCTCTCTCACATAGGTAGTCTTAGCGCAATCTAACTGTCTGTGGTGTGCCCGCTCAGCAGCACAGCCCCTGACTTTGGGACCTGGATTTGAAGGTCTCAGACCATAAGGCTGGATTCAGGGTGTCCCAGGGTATTCCCCAGTCATCCCCAGTCATCCCATCAACCCCCAGCCTCATCCACAAAATCAGAAATGTTACTCATCCAGCTTTCTGGGGAATCGTGAGAAGAGCAAACATGTTTGTAAGGGTGGTCCTTGTCCAAATCTTCAAGAGAGTGTGGTGTGCTCACTTTAGGAGACTGTTCACGCCCAGGACTGAGTTCTTTCTCTAGTTTTGAAACATGGAAACTACAGATGGCACAGCCTGCAATAACTTGCTATTTATAGTCCCTGAGGTCTCCCACTTCGACAATGCCCTATTTGCGTCTGTCTTTGCTGCATAAAAAGTTACTCAAGTCACTGAATGAAAGCTTACGAAACTGCAAAGTGGGCCAGTACTTCTGACAGGTGTCCTCCTTCATGCCTGGATGCTGGGTTTCAACCACTACTACTTGAGCACTTGTCAGTGTACATGGGCACCATGCCTGATTGAATGTACCCATTTTACAGCTAAGGAAGCAGAAGCAAAGGGGAGGAACTATGATGCCCGAGGCCTTTCACGGATCAGAGGCCAGGCCTGGATATGGGCCTGGGTCTAGTGCACCGAGGAGCTGTACCACTCCTGTCTCCTGACCAATGCTGAACTTCTGCTTTTAGCTCTGCCCATCCCTGGATATTTTTCCTTGCCCCAACTGTCCTCCTGTCACTAGTTTCTTAACCAGCAATATGTAACCCAGTCTTCTTAGGTTGTATGATGTGATCTAAGGGAAGGACATAGGGGTCTTGGTACCATGACTAAGTACTGTGAACTTTTGTTTCCCAATGCCCTTCTCCAGGGAGTTCCTAGGGACTGTATACCCAGTAGACAGGATGTTCCCAAGAGGAGAATGGATAACTGTGCTGTATCAGATTCCGCATCACTGCTGAGATAGCTAGGGAGCAGGGGGGAAAGCAGGATGCCTGCTAACTGGGATGCCTGCCATCAGGATGTCACTTGGAGCTTGGTTCCTCCAGCTGTAAAATGAGGATGCTACTTGCCTTGTCCCCTTCATAGGAGTGTCGGTAGCAGAATGGAGGGGGCAGAGGAAAGAACCAGGGAAGAATGGAGATTACCCAATCTCAACAACAGGAAAAAATATTAAAAAGGAAAACAGCCTCCAAGGCCAGAGGGACAAAAACAAAAGGGCTAACATTGATTATAACACAACAACCATCACCCCCTAAATTAAAATTCTGTGTGTTCACACAGGAACAAACTAGTACTGTATGGATAAGCTACAGGAATGCACACACAAAAAACAAGTTTGACAACATAATTTTATCACCAAGAAATGCAACGAGAAAAGAACCAAATGAACTGAGGAAAGCCTGTGATGACTTCTAGAAACGGGTATAGTGAGATTGGGTTTTCCTAACACTATACTCAAGTAACAGTGTGGGTGTTGGTAGTGTGCTCAGACTCAAGAAAACTAGAACTGGTGGGCGCAGGTGTGATACTAACTCTGAACGCACTTACTCAGGATAAAGATTCTAAACTAATGGGTCAAACCACTAAAGAAGACTTGCATTGTGTTGGTGTTGTTAAGTGCCATTAAGTTGGTTCCAACTTGTAGCAACCCTGTGTAGGGTTCTCAAGGAGCAGCTGGTAGGTTTGAACGGCAGATCTTGTGGTTCACAGTCCAGTGTGGATCCTACAGTGCCACATCTGAACCTGGTTATTCAGCATTGTTAATGTATGTCAGAATTTAACCTTTCCAGAAAAAACCTATTAATTAGAAAATGTATTACTCTCTATTACTTTACAGTGATTTTGGCCATGTGCCAAAATGAATTTTAGATGAAAGTTAAAAATCAAACAGCAATCAGTGTTTGTTTACACATTCAGTTTAATCTGCGGGTAGGTCTAAAGTGCTATTAAACAGTAAGGCATCAACTCTTTCATGAAAAATATTCAAAGGCTCTGTGGGATAAAGCACTGGACCGCAAGGTTGGTTTGAACCACAAGGTTGGTGGTTTAAATTTAACCAGCTGCTATTTGGAAACCCTGGTAGTGTAGTTACGAATCGGGCTGCGAACCACAAGGTCAGCAGTTTGAAACTACCAGCTGTTCTGCGGGAGAAAGATGAGGCTTTCTACTCCCATAAAGATTTACAGCCTCGGAAACCCTGTACAGGCTTGGAACCAACTCCACAGCTCATAACCACCACCACTTGGAAACCCATCCAGGGTCGCTATGAGTCAGAACTGAATTGACGGCACTTAACAACAACAACAAAGAGCATTAGTCCTGGCATGGTGCTGTAGGAGCAGCAGTGGACTGCTAACCACAAGGCTGGAGGTTCAAACCCACTAGCTACTCCTCAGAAATCCTATACAACCCCAACAGGGTTGCTATGAGTTGGAACGGACTCAACAGCTTAACAACAAAAGAGCAGTAACAGAGATCAAAGTGTCTGACAATAATACAAATTAATATTTTTATTAGTATTCAAATAATTTCACAAATTAACTCTCTCTAGTGCAGTGCAGTGAATTATTTAACGTCTCTTCTAACCATAGTCTTTGTAAACTCCCACCAAACGACTTTTTCTTTTCTGGAGGGAGATGTTGATGGATGATATGATTCACTTGTGAGTTAACATGGTTAATTGTGATTGTAAACACTTGGAACTCTAGCGCAGGTATAAAATGAGCCATCTCAGAAGCAGGAGGTGGGGAATTTTATTACCATCAGCCAAGAGTCGGGCGTGTGCAGTGACTCTCTCTGATCCAGGGACAGAAAGCTGTGATACGAGAGGAGTGGCAGCAACAGAGCCAGACCACCAGACAGAGCGTTGGTTTTTCTGGTTCACAGGGTAAGTGAGGCACAGTGAGTTTGGGCAGGAGGCTTGCTCGGAGGTGGAGTACCTCCAGGAGCTTAATTGGGGGAGCTAGGTTTGTTGACCCACAGAGCTAGAGCCCAGCGGTCTCGGGCTGAGGCTTATGGTGGAGTGGTGTGTCCTGCATTAATCAGCAGAACTAATGGAGCTTTGTAACACTATGGGAGCAAGGCAGAGGCTCAGGGCCAGAGAGGCTTGTCGTTGGGCCTGGCAGACTAGAGGCTGTTCTGACTGGAAGAACTGGGCCCTGAATGTTTCTGACTCTACATTGTAACCTGTTAACTTCCCTAAACCCCATAACTGTGAGTCTGGTGTCTGAGTTCAGTGTGGCACTGCAGTGAATGATTGAATCCAGCTGAGCAGAGTGTTAGAGGTGGGATGGTTGGTTTCACAAAGGGGCTGGCAGTACAGCTTTCCTCAGTTAGGCTATAAAACAGATACTGCAACGCACTCCAGGTCCTTTCTTTAAACGCCATTTCAAAAACCCAGAAAGGTAGGGATTGTAAGGGTGAGAAAATGAAAAAATAAAACCCCTGAACATTTGTAGCCAGAGGCAAAACTTAGATAAAAAAAATTCTTACAGACTGTTTTAAAGTGTACAGTAGGACAGAGCACACACAGACACATAGACGTTGGGATTTCAGTTACAAAATCTCCTAATTCTTGTGAAACAGTCACTTAATAGTTAGACAATCCCAAGGATTCATATCTCTTGACCATGTGCTCTTCCCTTATTCCCTCCTGCTGCCTCACCTACCACCCTAACAAGTGATGTCATTACTCCCTTGGCTGTGCACTGGTAAGCAAAGAATAATGGGATCATTTTCAAGAGTGAAATGAGTGCAAATTCACCTTGAATACAAAAACTATATCTGTGTCATCTGCATGTGGAGTCCTGGCGTGACGACGCTGTGAGATCAAGCACTGGACCGCAAGGTCGTTTGAATCACAGCGTCACCGGTTCAAACTCACCAGCTGCTCCTTGGAAACCCAAGAGAGTTTGCTATGACTTGAGTTGACCTAACAACAATAACAACCTCTTATACAGAGCCCTGAGGGTAGGCGTTGAATTGTTAACCTTACAGCTGCTCCATGAAAGGAAATGAGGTTGTCTGCTCCCGTAAAGATTTACAGCCTCAGAAAGCAGAGGGACTGTTTACTCTGTCTGGGCCTCTATGAGTTGGAATCTACTTGATGGCAGTGGATTTGGTGTTTTGTTTTTTTTCCTATTTTCTTGGTCTTCATATACAGTAAGCAGCAATTTTGTGGCTATGAAATCGTACACTTAGTCTCATTTCTGTTAAAAACCTGAGTTAGGCTACTTTCTTAAGACCTTCACGCAGTTGATTTTTATGTGCGTTCACCCTCAAATATTCTATTAATGTTTAAATACCAGAGTATTCCCCTAACTTACCTTCTATCAACTTACCTCATGTAAGTTTAGTTCTTTTACTTTTTCTTTTAAAATAACCTGCAAGACGAAAAAAAGTGTGAATTTAAAAGTTCCTCATTATACTCACAAATACTTCTCTTTTTTGTATGTAACTTGATTTCTTTCATACTCAATATTGGAAAGAATCTCTTAAACAGTTTAAGAGAAGATATTTCAGCTACATTTTCTGTTTTTATTTAATTGAGCAATGATGTTAATATCCTCCTGAAAAGCAATTTTGAAATCTCTCTGACAGTAGGAAATGTGAGGAAAAGATGCCCATCGAGACCAGGAGTCCTGGTGTGGCGCTGTTGGATAAACACTAACCACAAGGTTATCAGTTCAAATTCACCAGCAGGTCCTCAGGAACCATATACAGGGTCGCTATGAGTTGGAACCAACTCAATGGCACTTAACACCAATAACATCTAGACCAAGTGCCAATATGATGGGAAAAATGAGGCAAATTGATCACAATTCAGTAAAACACAACATGGGCTGATAGGACTGGTTGGTTAGTAAATTAATAAAGATGAAAAAGCATATTCAATCTTAATTTTGGAAGTTGTGCCTGTTATACATCACTGTGCTCTGCAAACCAGCTGTACCCAGAGTTATGTTAATGGACTTTAAAAATTTCTCCAAGTGCTGTTCCTAACCTGATTGTGTGGGAACCAGACATCAATAAAACATTTTACCAAATGATAAGTGGGCAGATGATGATTTTAAAAATCATTTTTTCCCTGAGGGTATACTTAGTTTATTACAGTTGTATTTCCTCTTAAAGTGAAAAACAGGTAGGTGAAATTTGAAGGAAATCTCTAAAGTTTGGGTGTCTTACACTACATGGTTTTGAAGGCAAATCATGGTTTCAGAAATGATAACCAGAAGCTGTTGTGCAGCTGTTTAGAGATGTACAAAACTTGCAATCCAGTGTATTCTAAAGATCAGATGGCATCTATTTAGTGATCTGATAAGTCCTCCCAGTTGATGCTGTCCTTGGACTACCAAGACCAATTTTATTTTCTAGTTAGCCTACATATAGTACCTTGTAGGTTGTCAAGATTATGATAGAACTGAGAGAAGAAACAACAGAAAATCATTTAGGAAACTAAACCATTATACTTTCAGACATGACATCAATGTACACCTTCAAGGAACTTGCTACTGAGCCCAGATCTTCAAATGACATGGACAGAATGATGGACGATAACATATGTAACCCTATGGGAAAAAATGTTTGGCAATGACATATCAAAGGACTACTCTTCAAAATTTATAAAATATGTCAATGCCTCAACAAGAGGAAGACAAATAATCGATTAAAAACTGGACAGATGACGTAAGCACGCACTTCACCAAAGAAGACATTCAGGTGGCCAACACACATAAGAAATGCTCACGATCATTAGCCCTTGGTGATGGTGATGTGCTGTGGAGTCGGTTCTGACTCATAGCGACCCTGTATAGGGTTTCTGAGGCTGTAAATCTTTAAGGGAGCAGAAAGCCTCATTTTTCTCCCACGGAATGGCTGGTAGTTTCAAACTGCTGACCTTGAGGTTAGCAGCCTGACAGGTAACCACTACGCCACCAGAGCTCCTTTCATTAGTAGTTAGAGATGCAAATCCAAACAACAATGATAACAGCATCTTACTCCAGCATTAATAGCAAAGTTCTAAAAAAAAACAGAAAACAACAAATGCTGGTGTGGGTGTGGAGACTGGGACCCTCCTATACTTCTTGTGGGGCTGGCTGCACAATGGTGCAACCACTGTGGGAAACAGTATGATGCTTTCTCAAAAAATTGAAACTAGAAATAACCATATGACCCAGCAATCCCTCTACTTGGTATATATCCTCAAGAAGTAAGAGTAGTGACACAACTGGAGCTATGAACACTCATGTTCACTGTAGCACTAGTCACAACAGCAAAAAGACAGAGAGTCTAAATGCCCATCAACGGAAGAATGGTTCAACTCACTTTAGTGCAGACACACAATGAAACACTATGCAATGTTGATGAATAACGGTAAATCTGCAATACCCCTCACAACATGGATGAACCTGAACATTACGATGAATGAAATTAGTCACAAAGGGACAAGTACTGTATGAACCACTGTTGCAAAATGTAAGAAAAGATTTTTTTTGCTAAATGAACTATTCTATGATGATTACGAGGGGTGAGGGATGGGAAGGGAGGGAACTATTTATAGGCTAGAAGGTAGACACACGCTAAGCTAATATGGGTGATGGACAGCCAATATGCAATAAGAGGGAGGTTTGACAGAAGAAAAGATGAAGGTAGCAGCAGACACAGGGAGGATGGCAAAAGTTAAAGGAAATAGAGGTAAATTCGAACAACTGTTGGTACATGGGGGAGATTACAATCATAATGAAGCAAAGTACATGATTTGCTGAATGTAAAACTTATGATCTGCTCTGTAAATTTACATTCCATTCCCAATAAAGTTTTTTTGAAAATAGATGTATCATCCTAAAATGGTGACATGGACTTGCTAGCAAGGTTAAAAACCCGAATAGAGGTTTAAAAAACAAACAAAAAAAAAAAATCAAGGAACATCTAGACCCACTGTTTGGTGTCAGTGGTACATGGTAATGGGAGCTTTCAATAAAAGCTAAATTTATTAACTTAAAGAATAAACCAGTAAAAGGAGAGTTCAAAGGGCTAGGTGTTAGCAGTAATCCAAGTGTGCAGCATCATGAACTCAAATTGAATTTAAAGTACAAAGTACAAAGAGCACTAACTGAGACCACTGGGACATAGCTGGCCATCTCTGAGGAACTGGTATCTCTTATAATGGAGGAGAAGGGGAAAAAACCTCATTCAATGGAGTCTCTGAACTACACAGTAACGTCACAGATTATAAACTACATTATTTCCCTTTTAGCAAATGCTGGCTAAAGTTCCCTGTTAAATTATATTACCCGAGCTTTCTAAAGCTTCAACTAATACTTAAGAAAGAAAACAAATACTTCAAAAAAGTGGATTTGATCAGTTTCATATTACAAACTGGAAAATGAAATGTTAAACTGAAAATGAGTGAATCCAACCCCAGCTTCTTCCCTAACAGAGCTGCTGGGCCGCTGGCCTCTGTTCCCCACAATGGGGTCTGTTAAGTTGTCAAAAACAAGGCCAATTTCAAGGGATACCAAGTGAAATTTAGAAGACGAGAGGGCAAAACTGATTACTATGCTTGAAAACACTTGGTAATCTAGGATAAAAAGAGTACAACCCACTCAAATGCAGGCTCATCGTTTGTGTACCCAACAGATAATCCTTTGCCAGACTGCTGATGTCCGTATAGAAGGGGATATGACTGTATCTGCGCAGCTTAGACTCATGGACTCCCAAAGTATGATGTGAAAGGGTCTGACCAGTTAGACTGCAGCACACTGTCCCGGCCTGCTGCTGGCCCGCAGACTTCTCAGTAGGTTTGGTCTGGACAAGATCTCTGAAGGCTAAGTGGAGGTAACTGGGGATGAACACAACAGGAAAGCAGTGATGGGCATTGCCTATGTGGATGCAGGCCTTGCCAGAACTACTACTGGAAATAATGTTTTGGGGGCTCTGAAGGGTGCTGTGGATGGAGTCTTGCCTATCCCTGACAAGACCAAGTAATTCCCTGTTTATGATACAGAAAACAAGGAATTCAACTCAGAAGTGCATTGGAAACGTATCATTGGTCAGATCGTTGCAGATGATATGCGTTACCTAATGAAAGAAGATAAAGATGCTTACAAGAATTAATTCTTCCATTATAAAAAGAACAGTGTAACTCCAGACATGATGGAGGAGATGTATAAGAAAGCACATACTGCTATGCAAGAGCATCGTGTTTATGAGACAAGGCTAAGAAAGCTGTTAGAGAGGTGGAATCATCCTAAAATGTCTCCTGCCCAGACAAAACATTGGGCAGCTCATTGAGAAAGGCAAGCTGTCTCGGAGTTCTCTGGACCAGAAGCTGAGAGCCAAACCAAATCACAATTTTCTATGAGATTGTTCCCAGAAAAACAAAATAAACCTATGGACCAAATCCCTGTCATCCCCTTCTCCCCCCCACCAAAATTCCAATCCCAGTTTCAAATAGGAATAGAAATCTGAGTTCTCACTTTTGGGAAAAAACATAACCAAAGCCCACCTGCGGTTATTACCTCACCTGTTTGTAGGCATAAAATTCTTTATGTGCTTGATGTCTTAGCCTAAAAGACAGAAAGAAACAAATAATGGGATGCTGAGATTTCCAAAATAACAATTTGAATACCACAAAAACTTGCTAATTTTTGGTTTTAATTTATATTATTGATCATTTAAAATCCTTACTCTTTATCTTGGAATATACTCAGATGGCATTATCTCGTCTTACCATGTTATGAAAAAACGCCTGGGGAGTCATGAAACACCACCGAAATGTAACTTATTCCTTGTGAAATTGTAAAATCCAATCTCAATTTCAATGCAGCCTTAAATATTTTTATACTGGTAGTGAACTTGTTGCAATATTTAACATAGCGCATTTTCCCGAATTTAAAAAGCTTATTAAGTACAATGCACATCTATTAAAGTACAAAAAATCCTTTTTTTGGAATAGTTTATATATATACATATTCTTGTGTAATCATCACCCAGATGATACTAAAGGACATTTCTAGCACTCCTGGCCATGCCCCTTCTCAGTTAATGCCTCCTCACCCTGCAGAGGTAACTTTTACTGATTTCTATCACCATAGATTTAAATATGCTTGATTTTACACTTCACATTCAAGTCACTGAAATGATAAATGGAGTCCTGTGTGGCGCTTCAGGTTAATGCACTGGACTGCAAGTTGAGATGGAACTGCAAAGTTGGTGGTTCAAGCTCACTAGCTGCTCATTGGAAACCCTATCCAGAGTCATTATGAATTGGAATCGACTCGATGGCACGTAACAACCACCACAGCTATTTGACTTTCCATCATTGATTGAAAAGACCCCTGTGTTTCCCCACTGCAATACAGCATGTGTTGTAAATCGGGTGAATAAATTCTGAGAGTCTGTTTCTAGTGTTTCTGTGCTATTTCCTTGGTCTATTGCCCTATCCCGGTGTTAATACCCAATTAGGAAATTACCATTGATATACTAATAACCAAACTTTCGTTGTTGCTAAGTGCCTTGGAATAGGTTCCGACTCATACTGACCCTGTATAGGGTTTCTGAGGCCTTAAATCATTGAAAGAGCAGAAAGTCTCATCTTTCTCCTGTGGAGCTACTGGCAGGCTTGAACCACGCACTCTGTGGTTCACAGTCAGGACTTATACTATGGAGCCAAAGTGCTCCCCAGTAATCAAACTATAGATTCTATTTGAATTTCTTAAGTATTCTTTTTATTAATATTCTTTTTTTCAATCCAGTACTTCAATTTACATTTAATTGTTGAAGCTCCTAAATCTTCTCTAATCTGACTATACCAGTCTTTCCTGTCTTTCTAGCCTTTGACATATTAACCATGGTACTTAGTTAAGGTAGGGCCTATTGGGTTTCTCCATAGTAGTCACTATTTCCTCCTTTGTAATTAGTGTTTTGGAAGAGATGTTGAAACTGGAGTCCTGGTGTGTTAGAAGCATTGGACTTCTAACTGCAAAATTGTCAGTTAAAACCCACCAGCAGCCCCTTGGAAACCCTACACAAGGTCGCTATGGGTGGGAACTGACTCCATTGCACTTAATGTGTTGAAATATGCAAGTATGAAAAATGCAAATATCCTGGGATTTTCCCTTAAACTTTCAGCCACTTATTTTAGTGCCCATCTTGCTTATGAATAGTATTGGTGTTTGCCTAATGACGGTTTTCTATTTTTTTAATTCCTTGTGCATTTAATTGGAATGCTTACATAAGGAAGAGATGTTCCTTTTCCATTTACTTATTAAATTATTTCTGTCAGTAGGGACTCACTGATGTTTATTTTTGTCTATGGATTACAATTCAATAGGATCCTTATTTTGTTGCTTAAACTGACTTAGCTTTGGCCTTTAGGAACACCCTCAGGTTAACTAAAGTCCTTTCAACATGCCCTTATTCTTTTCCAAGAACTTTTCTTACTTACTGGCACTACAAGATGTTCCAAGCTTAGTTTATATTTCCTTGCCCCAACCCTGAAACCCATCACTCCTTCCGAGGAGTCCTGGTTCTTCTTATTGAAGAACAGCAGTAGAAATCAAGAGCTGGATACTAGGTGAATAATCCAAGCATTAATTTACAGTACTGTGTTTTTATTCTTAATGAGTGTCTTTGCTATTACTGGTCCTTTGCATTTCTAGACACATTTCATGAGCCTTTCAATTTCCACAAAACAAACAAAAATCTGTCGGGATTTTGACTGAGATTGCATGGAGTTTATACATTAACTAAGAGAGAACTGACATTTTAGCAAGATTGGGTTTTTTAATGCATGCCTATAGTTTATTTCTTTATTTATCTTCTTTAATTTCTCTCTACACATTTCTCTGTAGAGGCCTTGTTGTTAAGTGCTGTCAAGTGGTCTTGACACACAGTGACCCTGAGGAACAGCTGGTAGGTTTGAACTGCTGACCTTGTGGTTCACAGTACAGTGCTTATATACCTTTTATTAGATTTATTCCTAGGTATTTGATTCTTTTTGATGCTACCGTAATATGTATTTAAATACTTTTTATTTCTGTTTGCTACTATACACATATAAAAAAACCCCCACAATTTCAGTTTTGTATATTGACCTGATATCTGTCTAGTGGTGTTACTAAAGTTCATTTGTTATTTAATTCTAAATAGTTTATCTATAGAATCTTTTAGATTTTCAAATATACACGATTATGTCTGCAAATAATGAGTTTAATTTTTGTCTTTGTGGTCTTTATGTATTTTACATCTTTATTCTTCTATGTGCTTACATTGTTCATTTTTTGCACTGACTTCAACCTCCAATAAAATGCGAAGTACAGTGGCATTAACGCAAAGGCCTCATTTCCAGTCTCAGGAAAGCTATCCATCTGTCACAACTAAGTCTTATGTTTTCTGTCTTTTGTAGATACCCTTGATCAGATAAAGGGAGTTCTGTTGAATTACAAAGTTCAAAAAATACCATAAATAGGTATTACATTTTATCAAATGTCTTTAATATATTTTTTTCCATTTTACATCCTGGTGGTGCTATGGGTTAGGCATTGGGCTGCTCACTTCCAAGGTCAGTAGTTCAAACCCACTAGCTGCTCCATAGGAGAAAGATGATGCTGTCTGCTCCAGTAAAGGTTTAGTGTTAGAAACCCTATATACAGTCGCTATAAATTGGAGTTGACTCAAAAGCAATGTGCTTGGTGGTTTTTTTTTTTTTTTTTAAACTAATAATGTGATTGGAGTACAGTGGCTAATCAGTGGACTGCTAATCATAGGGTCAGCGGTTTGAGCCCACCAGCCGCTCTGTGGAAGAATGATGAGGCTTTCTGCTCCCACAAAGATTTACAGCCCCAGAAACCATATACAGGGTTGCTATTAAGTTGGAACCGACTCGATGGCACTTAAAACAATAAAGGTGGCATATTTTATGAATGATTTTGGATGTTGAAGTAACCTTCATTTCTGGAACAAGCCATCTTTGGGTGTGATGTATTCTATCTATCCTTTTTGTATATTTTTGGATTTTGTTTACTAATATATTGTTTATGAAAGAGATTAGCCTATATAATTTCCTTTCTTTAAAAATAATATTTCATTATGTTGGTAAAAGTTGACACAGCAAACTAGATTTACATTCAACAATTTCTACACAAAATTGTTTAGTACTGTCAACAATCTACACAAAATATAATACTGGTCATATTCTTCACAATGTGTGAACATCCTCATTATTTCTGTTCTGGTTGGTCAATTTCTAGTAATCTAGTTTCCCTGTCCCTTTACCTTCTCATCTTTGTTTTAAAGTAGCCGTTGAATATTTGGTCTCATTTAGATGACATTTTCAAATTCACGGGTACTTTATTTTATGAGCCAATCTGCTATTTATCTAAGAGACCTCAGTATAGTTTTGGCTTATAATAATTTCCTTTCTTGTAATATCCTTGTCAGATTTTGGTAACAAAATTATGTAGGTTTCATTATTATACTGGGACTCTTAGTGTGGCGCTGTAGGATCAGCACTGGACAGTGAACCAAATGGTTGGCAGTCCAAGCCCACCAACTGCTCCTCAGAAACCCTATACAGGGTTGCTGAGCCAACGGCACTTAACAACAACAAACAACATTATCATATTAGCTAAGAAATACTTCCTTTGCTTCTATAGTCTCTGGAATGTCATAAAAGACAGGTATATTTTTTCCACAAATACTAGGAAGAATTCTCTGGTGAGGTCACTTGGCTTGTAATGTGTGAATAACACACATTACTTGTTAGACAGGTAGTCATATCTTCTATTTCTTCTATCAATTTTGAATCTGTTTTTTCTAGCACAATACTGGACGGTGTTCTGTTCTGTTTTACACAGGGTTGCAATGAGTTGGAACTGACTTGATGGCAACTAACAACAACAAATAGTGCTTTTTTTTATAGGAATCTGTCTAATGCATGTATAACTTCAAATTTAATCATAAAGTTGTTCAAAACATCCTCTTGTAATCTTTCACAGTTGGTAGGATTTGCAGCGATTTCTTATGCATTTCTAATCTTACTTATTAGTTTGCTCTCCTTTTTTCCTGATCAGTCTTTCTGGGGTTCTTATCAATAACAGTAAGCTTTCCCAAGAACCACCTTTTGGTTTCCATGACTTCTCTATTATACAAGGGAGTTTCAAAAAGTTGGTGGAAAATGGGATGAAAAGATACTGGAATTTCTCCATGAACTTTTGAAGCCCCCTTTGTACATTTATTTCTGTCTCATGATTTATGTGCTGCTTCTTATTGGTAAGTGCTGTGGAGTCGGTTCTGACTCATAACGACCCTGTATAGGGTTTCTGAGGCTGTAATTAAAAAAAAAATTATTGTGAACTGAGTGATGGTTTACATGGGAGAACATCGGCTTTACACCATTGTTTCATTGCAATGATTACAATCTCCTCTGTGCATCAGCATTCAACAGTATTTGCTTCTATTCCCTTTGTTGAGGCTGTAAATTTTTGTGGGAGCACAGTCTCATCTTTTTCCCGTGGAGCTGCTGGTGGGCTCAAACCACTGACTTTGTGGTTCATAGTTTATCCTC